TAAATTCCTCCTCCCCCACCCCTTTATTCGGTATCTTAGAGTACGCTTAAATTCTTGTTTCATTTTGTATTCTTTCCATTCAATGGATTTCAGAGTAACTCTGTCGCAAGAGCAGATCTGTAGGAAAATTACTTCTGAATACATAATAGATTGTCATTGTAAAGAGGGCTGAGACCTAGATATCAGTGATAACGCGGGAATATACACGACCACAACCCTTTTGTTCCGTGTCGTTTCCCCTTGAAACTTTTTCATTCGTCGACCTCAGCAAGCAAGATGGTGTCCCTACCAGCAGCGAAGCAGAATATTTCTCCTCTTATAAGGGTAATAGTCATATTTTCCATTTTGCTTTACTTTCAACTTGTTGTCTTGATTTTACAAAATGTGAAAAGGAATATTCTATTTATTCGCGTACAATTGTTCTAAACCTGATCGGAATTGGCCTCTCCTAAAACGTGCGAGTCGGCGTCCTCATCAAAATCGGTGAAGTTGAGTTGAAGAGAAGATCCCTGGTCTGGTCTTGCGTTGTGCTGGCGTTTTTGACAGATTTCTTATGCGACGCGACAGTTCTTAACGAATTGGAAACAGCGAAGCCTGTGTGACATAGTTTCACTACTGGTACCAGCATTAAGCACGTGCAACTCATGTCAGAGATGCCTTTGACAGTCTTCTTGACCTTCGCCTCACCAACTTTTTTCTGCGCTTTTTCGGCCATTTCGGGCGCTTTTTTTTCGGAGGTCTAGAGTCTAGTTTCCCCCCCCCTCCCCCGCCTTTGTAATTCGCGGGCTGTGGCCCCAAGAGTAGGGGGGTTTCAGGGGGGCCCTCCCTGACCTAAAAATTGTATAGAATTCAATTTCTAGAGCTAGAGATTTTTAGATACGCAGTGGCTACGTTCACGGCACCGTGAACGTGGTCTGCAGGCTACGTTCACGGTGCCCTGAGAATGCAGTTGGGAGGTGCTGTTGAGGCTACGTTCACGGCACTCAAGCTTCGTTTAGACGGAGCGTCCACTGTCAGTTTAAGTGGTAAGCCGGTTTTTGTCGGTGATGACAGTGACGTATATTTAATATTTTGGCCTTCTTCAAGCGTTCCATCCCATGAGATGAAGGAAAACGAAGCGGTGATCCTTGACCGATCGACCATTCGTCGTTTTCCCTTCCCTTTAACTGAGCTCTGGCTCACGAAAACGGTTCGGAGAAATAGAGTTCAAGTTTATTTTCCCGAGCGTTTGGAGAAATAAAGCCAGCTCTTTTTTTTTTTTAGCTTACATGCGCCAAGTATTTCCACAGCCGAAGTGTGTGTGTGAGTGAGACTGCTTGTGCAATGTGTTTCTGTAGCCTTATCTACGGCACTGATATGGCCTAATTGTGTTGCAAGTGCTGTAAAACTCTAACAAAAACAAAACGAAACAAGTTTTCGGGTACTTGTTACCTTGTATTAGGCTGAGGTCTAGATCTAGCTAATCTAGGTTCTTTAATGAAATGTTATTTTTTTTCTTGCCTTTTTCAGTTTGCTCGGTGGTCGGCTCTCCTCACTGGAGTGGCGTATGGAGCTTGGAGATACAGTGAGTATCATGGTTCGATACATTGAAACGAGTTTGTCATGATCCATGGCTAGAAAGACTGATGCTAAAAATAGGATATTAGGAAATTATTTGTACGTAAGTGCTTTCATACAATGAAGAAACGAAACGTATGGATGAAAATTAGGAATTATAAGACTTGAGCAAGAACAAAGACAAGGTTTTCAGCACAAATTTCCAGAGTGAACTATGGTTCTCTGTCTCTATGGATCGGTAACTTTAAAACTTACAAGACAAGACTTCTAAATTAATACAGTGGAAACCATATATAACAGGCCCGGTAATAACAGGGATCCGGTAATAACAGGGATTTTTAAAATCCCCGTTTTTTCCTACTCTTTGTCTCTATTAAAAGTTATCGGCAATAACAGGGCCTCATCGAAGCCCAACCGGTTATAGCAGGGACAAAGGCTCGTTAACAATGCGTAAAATGTTAAGAGAGAGAGAGAGAGAGTGACGCAGTGATGGAGCAAGCCCATGCAAGCCATGCCACTGCGAGCTCACGCAGCGTGTGAAGCGAGAGAGGGCTGCAGTGTGCAGCAGACCTCGATCAAGCCCGAAACCTAGCAACACGCACGCGTAATGTGTCACCACCGATGTCAAGCGCAAGAGCAAATACCTTTCAATTGGCAAAAAATACGAAATACTCCAGGCTGTTGACAAAAAGCAAGCTCCACTGGCAGAGATTCGTCGTCAGTTCGACATTCCACAAGGGTCGATTCATTCCATTATCAAGGATAGAGAGAAGATAGTGGCAGCATACTCCAATGGAAAGTTTGCTCTGGATCGAAAAAAGATGAGACTTGCCGATGCAGATGCTGTGGACCAAGCTCTTCTGATGTGGTTTAAGGAGGCAAGGAGAAAGTTGGTGCCAAAACCCCTGTTCGTGGATACTTGTGGCAAGGGCAACTACCCATGAATAAGTACTGCTGGATTAATCCACAAATGCTTATTTTCCGTGCATTTCTGATTTAACAGGGATCGGATATAACAGGACATTTTCTCTACTCCCACCATCCCTGTTATATCAGGTTTCCACTGTAATTACAGCCATTGATCAACTCCAACTTTAGAAAAATCCTTAAAATTTCTTAGTCTGACACCATGAGACATGAACAGTTATGATGAGGGCAAACAGACCAAGAGAAAGTAGGATAGAAATTAGCACAAAAAACTGAAAGAGTATTGGACACACCTTGGAGAAAACTGAAAGCATGTGTGTCGCCACGCGATGGAATCAGGCGCTCTTCAATTTTGGGTAATATAGATTTTTTGGTATCATCTTAAAGGTTATTCATTTATCTGACTTTTGTTGAATAAAATAGTCTTCTAATGCTTCTATCTTGAGTCATGATGTTTTCAATTGGAGGAGGAGAGGTTCGCGTGGTGTCAGAGATATAATTAGAAGCAATAAAATGGCTGCCAAAGTTTGGTGACTTCCAAAACTTCCATGTTCTTGGAAACTGTAAATTTACATTTCTTGAGCTTTTGATAAATTTTTTTCAGTAACGTCCTCGCGGAAATGTGTTTTAAAATAAAGACATAAAATATGATAAAAGGTATCTCGACTTCTTTTCAAGATATGTGAGTATTTTTTTCATTGATAGACTAATGAACGGGCTTTAAGATGATTCCAATATGACTCCATGTGCCCAAAAATTGACGAGTACCCGATTCCACAGCGTTGTGACACATTTGATGATGTTACAGTGACTCGTGACACATTTGATGATGTTACAGTGACTCGTGACACATTTGATGATGTTACAGTGACACATTTGATGATGTTACAGTGACACATTTGATGATGTTACAGTGACACATTTGATGATGTTACAGTGACACATTTGATTTTACAGTGACTGATGTGTTGATTTCTGGCCTTGTGAGGATTAGAGGGTACTCTAGTAGTACTAGCTTTTTCCTCTCCAATTCAGGAAAGTTAAGACAGGTTATTAGGGGTCAGGGACATGTAACAGAAGGTCTCCAAACCACTCTCACTGGGTGGTTTGCGGGTGCTCTGGCATGGCTTGTTTTCTTCTTTCCTACTATCGTACATATATCGGCCTTGTCTCTCCTTCTTTTCTTTGTACAGTACTCTTAAGTAAACGCCCTCTAATCTTTGGCACTTATATGACATGTTTGTGTTGGAGGTGCAGTGAAACTCCTCCGGGTGTTCTCATGGTCTAGAGCTTATGATGTTCACCTCTCATTCTATAGGTCCCGGGTTCGAAACCTGATAGCGACGGAAAATGGTTTTCTCTGAAAAATTTCTCCTGTCACCTCATTTCCTGCTCTCTTATCAGGTTCTCTCGTCTGCTTTCGTCTCCACCTTCTGCCCTTTTCCCCCCTCCACTTTGCCTTTCCTCTGGGCTCCTAACTCTTTTTGCAGCCTTTCTACTCCTACTCCCTGGCTCCTTCTTACGTCTGCCTTTCAGCCACACCCCTGATCTTAAGGTAGGTAAGATCTTATACTTAGCCTTCTCGGATAAGGACGAACAATTTCGGGAGTCCCGTGTGCAAGTTGCGCACGTCAAAGATCCTTTTGTGGCCCTATAATCGACAAAAGTAGGCTTCAGCCACCAACTGGCAAAATTCAAAATTCCTACCGAACCGGAAATGTTTAATGTGTCCCGCGAACTCATAATATGACCTTATGGAGTTGCGAGCCCCCTTCCTCTCCCCCCTCCACGAACATAACCACCCCCACCCCGCACTCCTTATGCCCTGACAACTTTCGCTGAAGTGAGAAGTTACAATCAAAGCCACCCCTGCCTAACCCCCCCCCCCCCCCTCACACACACACACAGGTGGGTGGTTGTTGGTGGGTGCTCTGGTGTGGTTTGCTCTTCTTTCCTATCAAACTTCTATTGTCGTGATCTCTCCTCCTTCTTTTTTATGTTTGTTTCTCTCTTGTAACACCCCTAATATTCCGCACTTATATATGACCTTATTGTGTTGCTAGTGCCGTAAAACGCTTACTAAAAATATTTTTTTTTACAAAAGAAAAACACACTCTCACACAAACAAACCAGCAACCCACCCCCCTAGGGCAGTGGTACTGACAAGTGTCTTTAGGCCATTCCCAAAGGGGGGGATATTAACATGTTCTTATGCACAGTAGAATTGTCTATGGGCTGATTTATTAATGCCATGCTGATGCTGTGCTGCTTTTCTTTCCTCATCCTTACTATAGTCATTTTACCTCTATTTCATTTGTATGTTTTTCACTCTCTTTTGAACTGGTTTCCGGGGTGCCTTGACAGTCAAAGCAGACTTTGTGCTGTTGAGGCTAGAGCGGTGAGCAGAGTAAACCTGAATCCCCGTTTTTATTTCTCTGTTGACATCCGCCCCTTGGCGCTCATATAACCCTATGCAGTTGTGAGCGCTGTAAAACCTTACTAAAACAAAGCAAAAGCTAACCGCTTTTCTCTACGACAGTGGGTGGTCGTCTCTCACAATTTGGGCTGTATTTGATTTCCTTTCTGTTTTGTTTCCTCAGGCTACTTGGCCAAGCGGGAAGTCGGAATCCAGCAGCATGAGAATGAAATTAAAGAAAAGTACAAGCAAAGGATGGCTGTCGTCAAAGTAGAGAAAGAAAATGGTAATGCGTTGCCGCCTTCTCCGTGTGTTGCCCCCTTGTCCAGTTATACAATGTGTGAAATCAGGCGCTCGTCAAAATAATGAATTTAAAAAAACTGTCATTTTCCCTCAGGTTTGGGAATTTTTATCGAATTTTTGTTTTTGGCTGAACGCCTTTCGTGCCTTTTACCTCACTGACTACTGGCCCCTTTCACCAGTCACTAGCGCTGACTACTGGCCCCTTTCACCAGTCACTAGCACTGACTACTGGCCCCTTTCACCAGTCACTAGCGCTGACTACTGGCCCCTTTCACCAGTCACTAGCGCTGAGTACTGGCCCCTTTCACCAGTCACTAGCGCTGAGTACTGGCCCCTTTCACCAGTCACTAGCGCTGAGTACTGGCCCCTTTC